GACAGGACGAACGTACCGTAAATGCCGAGTAAAGCGAACGTGCTCTTAAGAGGGTTGGCAGCAGAGGTGGTTGGTAGGGGGGGGGGGGCGCCTACTACTACTACTACTACTACTACTACTACGGCTACTACGACTAATACTACTATTACCACGGCTACTACCACCCATAACTGCTACTATTACGAATATTACTGCTACTAGTGATACCGCTAATACTACTAATAGCACCACAAAAGCGAGGAGCAAGAAGTACAAACGCAAAGGTCGAAACGGCAAGCTCCATCCACAAAAGTTGTGAAGACCATGTCTAACAGCAACAGTGAAGAAGAAAGGTCTAGCAGCGAAAGATAAAGTTTTGCCACGCGATACGGCAATGATGCATGCAGACGACGCCCTGCAATTAGTAGGGACCCTTGCAGCTAACAAGAGCTATAGTGCGAGTCGGAGATAGTTGTCGAACGCTTGGCTGAATGGGCAGTCGAAATAACGGAGCTGCACCATGCATCCAGGGTCCCGGACGTTGTCCAGCATATGTAGAGCCGGCATCTGCATATAAAAGCTCCGTCGGCGTCAGTGATCTGCCGTCCTGACGACTAGAATCTAGAAGACCGGACACGGACACGAGACCGGTGGCGGCGATGCCATCTCTCCGAAATCCAAACCATGCGCGCGGCGTTGCAGACCCGTCCGCCAGCGTCAGGATCCACCTCCGCCAACCGTTGCAGATATACCGAACCCAAAGCAGGAGATGGGGCCAGCCCGCGCCTCCGTTGGCGTCCACACGTCCAGGTCCTGGCTAGTACAAAGAAACGGCGTGCCCATGCCATCAGGAAAAAGTAGACTGGCCTTGTCCGCAGCACTGTGCCGCGGTTCAACGCTCTGGCAGAATGCTTCGAAGTCATCGGGGGGTATGACCTGCCCAGGCTGCCCTATTGCATATGCCAGCTGAGCGAGCGTGACAAAGCCCTGGCCCCTCAGCCCAGTCACAACTTCACTGGAGAGTCGCACCTCTCTGCACTTCTTTTCGAAGTGTGCCTCGCTTTCAATCAAGGATGCCATGGCTGCAATGAAGGGTCCTTGGTGGCTCAATCGAACATGTGTGAATCTTGCGCATGAAGCATCAAAGATCTCTCAGCTGCATGTCCTAAGGGAAACTGAAAAAAGGAGAGTGTTGTAGGCTCGTGAAATGTCATGCAGCTCAATGAACACAAAACAAAAGGTGTTCCTCAAGGCTCAATGAAAACAATGAACTACTTCGCACCACATGTCACTGAAGGCGGCGGGGCAGCACTCACAATCACTAACGGCCATGCACGATCAAGCACATCGCGATGCTGAAGGACAACAAACTCCACTTCTTTCAAACTTTTCGCGGACGATGCTGCCTTCGCAGCTGGCTTTAACAGCCTGCTCTCCCTTGAGAGCTGGACCACTGGAGGGGCCGTCATTGCAGCACATCAGACCTTCGTCTTCACGTGTTCTCTGTATGAGGGTCCGATGGGTCTGCCGCAAAGGAGCATTCTCTTGCCGTATGCATGGTGCAGAACTCCTGTCCGAGTCATCCAATCGGCGCCAGATTCAAAGTGCGGTTCCAAAAAAACTCGGTCAAAACGTTTCGGTCAAAACTCGGACAAAACGTTTCGGTCAAAACTTTGGCACCCAAACCCTTAACATAAATCCTAAACCCTACGCCCTAAATCCTAAACCCTAAACGCCTAAACCCTAAATCCTGAACCCTACGACCTAAATCCTAAACCCTAAACCCTCAAGAAAGAGATAAATAGAAATTGCTTGTCCTTGTTGGCACAACGGCCAGGGATATTCAATGACCATTCCAAATCTGCAGAATTGTACGCGAGCAACTCCGCTATTACCATCAGCACGACTACTACCATTATTACCACCACCACTACTATTACTACTATTACTACCACTACTACTACTACTACTACTACTACTACTACTACTAGTACTACCAGTACTGCCAGTACTACCAGTACTACCAGTACTACCAGTACTACCAGTACTACTCCTACTACTACTACTACTACTACTACCACTACTGCTACTACTAGTCACTAGTCTTTAGTGCTAGTACTGGTATTAGTATTAGTACGACCACGACTTCTATTGCTACTGCTACTGCTACTGCACATTACTGCTTATTGTTTCTACTACTTACTGCTTTCTTGCAGCCTTTGTCGCCATTACCCACACAGGAAATAGCTGTACACAGCAGCAATATAATCCTATTGATAGCGATCATGACGGTGATAGTTATCATGGACACCATAGCGAAAGACGGAACATCATGCACCAGCCATTCGCAAAAGCCGTCGCCTCCGCCTAGAGCTTGAAGTCGTGTAAAGCCCAAGCCCGGCCAAGCACATGAGCATGTGCTCAAGAAATCGCGGCGAGGCCGTGGCTGCAGCGGCACTCGAGGCTGCTGGCTGTGCTGTGCAGAAGCCGCCACCGGCCCAGCTGCGGAGCGCAGGAAACCTCAAGCCTACGCCGAAGAGTACCTCTTTCGAGGTACATCTGTGAACTTCGAGAGACGAGGCCCTCGCTGTGCCACTGCGGTTTGTGCAGGGCTGTCGTGCCAGAGGTACATAAACATGTTGCTGTTGCCGCGACGATGACGACTACGATTACAGACGACCACCATCCCTGCCACCACTACCACTGCCATCACAACCACGTACAACCACAGATTAAAGTCTGCGACCACCAGAGATTCCGAAGTGTACTGTCTAGCAGCTAGAGTCTAGCAAGCTCTTGTAGCTTAGACCTGCTCCGTGCGACAAGCCGAATTTCATGTTCGGAACAGGCAACAAAGCATACACCCAGCGCCTTGAACTGCAGCCACGAGCTGAAAGGCGGACTGCGCCAAGTGACGATGCTCTTGCCGACATCGTGAGGCGATGAAGGGACTGGGGTTCTGCTGGGGTTCCATGTTCTGGCATTGGGTGTGCTGCCCTTAAGGGCTCCGTTGAAACGCAGGTGGACTGCCATATCTGGCCGAGATGATGGCATCTTCGTGGGAGGGGAATTCAGCGGCAAAGGCATCGCTGCCTTGACCTGCCTGTGCTCGCTGCGCCGCTACATGCGACCGTGAGGGCATTCGGGTGACCTGAGGCCTGCATGTAGACCAGCGCCCCGAGAGCAACCTTGGAAAGCAGTGGCGAGGCTTGACGCTTGGCAGGTGCAACTCATCAGAAAGCTTCCTGCTGCAGCACGAAAGCCTCTAGGCCCTTGTCTATGCTTCTCTGAATGCGTCGAAGGAAGCTCTTCGCCGCGTGGGACCTCGGGTCCGCTGGCCAAGCGGTGCTCGAGAGCTGCTATGGCGCGGGCCCCGGGGGCGGCTCCAGGGCCCCGGCGGGTCCTTCTGACGGGATTTCGGGCTCACGTCGACCCTTCTGGTCTTTTCCTGGCAATAGCGCTGGCATAGCAGCTGTCAGTTTCATGTTTTTTCCAAAGCATCAGTGGCCCGACATTCGGCTCATGCGGGCGCACCTTGTTCAGGGTTGTCGATATACCAGATGATTGCAGACTGCAGGCGAGATCTTCTGTCCGCCTTTGTTGGCCAAGCATTGCCAGGCGTTGAAGAAGTGCACGCCGCATGGAAGCAGCCAGCCACTACAGGTTGCTACCCAACTACGATTTTCTTGTGCAAAGGCAGCTGTTCCTCCTTCGACCTGGAGATATCTTCCTGTTCAACGGTTCCGTTGCCAGCAGAAAGCTGGGAGTGTGGGCGTCGCTTGGGGTCGTGCTTCGGCACATGAGCAATTTTGCACACTGAGCACACTGGTGATCTTAATTCAAAGTCAAAGTCAAATTAAGTCCTGAACTACCGTTCCCGGCACTTCCAGGTTCGATGCCGCACACAGCGCTTTGCATCGGCGATTCTCTCAATGTGACCAGCTACGTGTCCTGGATTGAGCTGGTGGGAGACATATGCTCCGGCAGAGGCAGTAGCAGACATTAGCAGACACTTGCGACTAAGGACGGCTTGCTAACGTGGCATCCTGGGCACATCGAGCAGTTCTTGCTGCTTGCTCGACGTTAAGAGCCCAAACTGACGACTAATGGTCGTCGTCCGGCTTTCAAGCAGTGATCGGCGGCAAGGCGAACAGACCGTATTTACCTTCGCCGTTGACACCTCGCTCCATTCGGTCTCACTGCAAAGGAACACCGCCTCGAGCTTCAGCGGACCTTGGCGAGACGTTGGCCTCAGCTGGAAGGCGCAGCGTTCTCTTTGGAGGGGTGATACGGAAGTCCCGCTGTAGCGCGGCAGAACACCAGGAGCCCAGGGCCCCCGCAACGGAGACGTGCAGAGACGTGTCGATAGCAAGCCTTCCACTTGCCTCCTGTGGTCGTTGTGTGACCACCAGATCATGCAACTCCTAGAGACCTTTCATGAGTTCTTGTCTTGGTTGGAGAAGGTAGGCGCCACTCCTGCATTCATCAACAATCATATGCCATCTGGCATTATCCAATAGTGTGTTGCACTTGAAATGATTGTAACACAAGTTATGGGGGCTGAAGCCCTGTTTTACATTGAAGAGATGCCGAGATGCCACCCGGTTATTCCGCTATGCCTTTTCTGATTCAATGGGTACCATTTCATGATGTATAGAATCCCTGCCGAGAAGGTTCATTCCTGTTATTTATGCAAGCGACTGTGAGTATGATAACAAGTGTCCTGTCAGGAGAGTCAGGGTCTGAACAGGCAAGGAGCTACGCGAAGGACGTACAGAGTCTCTCCGGTTTTGTCGTTGTGAAGCTTTGACTCCGCGACTCGGGGTCCAGAATCCTCAGGGCAGGGCTTCAAGATGCAGATGTAGATTTTTGGTCGAGGGTTCAAACGCGCGCAGTTGACACATGACAGCCGCCAAAGCCACAAGACGAGGACGAGGAGGAGGACCATGATGATGATGATGATGGTGATGATGATGATGGTGAGGATGACAGTGATCAAATTGCGAAGGTGATAATGATGAAGGCACTGTCACGCGCACAAACAGGGACGACGACGATCCCTGGCGACTATGTAGAGAGTGAATGCAGAAATAAAGACGGTGACAGTTCCTTGCACGAAGACAAGGATCGATGCAGGAGCTTCCAAGCACCGTGGTGTTTCTGCTAAGCTGTCTGCATCAGCTCCGCAGGTTGCCGTTGCGAGTCTCGTCACAGGCCGCATGTCCCGCATATCATGCTTGCAGGTGGAGCTCCTGAGTGCCTGGAAGGCCTCCGGACCGGTGGTGTAAGGATGCGTACAGTAGCGACCTTTGACCTCTTTGTGCTGCTCCTGGAGCGTCTAGTCAGCCGATGTCCAACTCTGCGACATCCCCGTCTAGCATGCGCTTGGCACGTCAGGAGGCACGGAAGCGCAGCCGGGAGGCATGGCACGCGCCGTCGCTGTTCGACAGATTCGCGTGTGGTGTGGGTGTGATTGCAGCTTGGAAGAGATTCTCCAAGGGCTGGATGTGTCCGAGTCTTTGACAGCTGAGAGAGCTCTGAGAGAGCTCTGAGTCAGAATCGCACTCTGACGTCTTCTCCGTGGCAGGGCTCCGCGGAGGGCTCGCCGCCTGCAGAGCTGCCTTCCTTGCTCGAGGAGGCCGCGCGAGAGCCATGCGGAGCCGGCATCGACCGAAGCTTGGCTGCAGGCCGCGCGACTCTTGAGCAGCGATGGCTTCTGTCAAGAGCTTACAATGTGTTACAAGTCTGGTGACAAAGGGCAGTCCTTCCACAGCAGCTTCGGCACTGTCGGCAAGGTTAGCTTCAGGCCTTGCGCATGAGTTCAACCTTACGTGATTAGGGCCGTCGTTGAGCAGTTCTGGTGCCATGCAGTCATGCAGCTCAGGCTGCCTGAGGCAGGCTTGTGCCAAGATGTCCACTTCTTTCTCTGTCCCTGAATGAAGTTCCGAAGACTACGGGCTGCAAGGTGCCGATGAGCTGCCTCTACAGTCTGATGAGGCATCGGCAGCATTTTTCATAAGAGGTCGAGGGCAGATCTTGCGAATGGGCTCCTGGCAGTCCTAGCATTCCCCAAGAAGTGATCTTTGCCGGCGTACTGTAGAGCCCCCACCTACCCCTCTTGAAATAACATGTTGATCCCTTTCGCTGAGAGAGCCAGAGAGAACTTTCCGGGACTTTGCCCACAGGAGCCTCTGGCGGCCAAGCGACGCAAAACTGCGGAGGGTTCAAAGATGGCGAGGGCTGTGTCGCGTCTGCTGCTTCTGTCGATGAGCGAAGGTATTTTGCTTGGAGGGCACATGTGACGGTGGAAGTAGACTGCCTTCGGAATGTAAGCAAGGTTCATATGCTGTATAATGCGTCTTTAGACGTTGCATTGCCCTGGCAGTTTTGCCGATTTGATGTTCGGCGACTTCTTCGACCGGAATGAGAAGCCGCTCGAAGCTTGGGTGTTTCCTTTGCATCCTCTCCTGAGTTGTCACAAGACCGGAGGCTCATGGAAATACTCCGCAAGACTCGCCACGCTCTCTTTGTTCAGGTACGTCCAAGCCACGGACCCCGTGAGGACGCAGCTCACCTTCGAGGAAGCCTTGGAGGCGCGGGGGGCGGGCCGCCCCAAGGGCCGGGCCCCCGGCCCTCCGCACAGCGCACAGCTGCCGCCCAACACGATCCAATACTCCAATACGTGTTTTCTCTTTTTGGGGGGCCTTCGGGGCTTCGGGGCTGCCTGCATACAAGCGGGCAGGAGTACAATGGCATGAATGCCAGCAAGATGAACTTGGTCTTCTTCAAGGACCCGCGTATGCACGGCTCCATGGTGTCATTCCGCCTCTCGCAAAGACAACAAAAAGTATACGTGACCGCCAGTTCTCGAGCCGGAGGATGCTCAGGAACATCTTGCCCGTGCTGCGAGAATCATTCGACAACCACGAGGTCAGACCGGGTGCACCATCGGGGTTGGTCCTGCTGCCAAATCCTGGTAAACAGGCTCAAGCAGCCTCAGGATGTCAGGTGTGTTTCAGGAGGAAGGCAAAAACCAAGTTGAACAGGAATCTTTGCCTTCCATGCGGGACCCATGTGGCAGGCAACGCCCTGCTTGTGGGCGTCAGCGGCGTGGGCAGGAAGAGTCTGGCAAGAATGGCTGCGCACATGGCCGAGGCAGACCCCGTTCTTCGGGGTCTCGGTCCAGGGATGGCCAGAGATCCTCTGAGCTCTGCTTTTTGGAGCTCGTCCCCCGTCCTCTTCCCCAATCCATGCCGCTGGCGCAGTTCGCCTGCAGCTCCATCGAGATCACGCGCACCTACGGCCTCTAGCTCTGTGCGAGGAGAGGTGACCTATGATCTGAGAATTCAACTTCTGCGCTCAGGTGTGAACGACTTCCGTGAAGACTTGAAGCGAATGATGATGGACGTGTGTCTGGGCAGGAAAAGGGACCGGACTCTAAAACATGTCGAGCTTCGCGAGAGGTCTCATTACGCACGGACCCACAGCATTAAATGGCACCGTAACCCCACTCCGAGCATCACTGGCCCGAGAACAATCCGTCCCGTGCAACATGGGTGGGCGGGCAGAAGCACGATCACAGACAGACAGACGGACAGGGGAAGTTTGCAGTTTGCATGTCAGTTCTGCTTTCTGCTCATGTCCTGGTCTTGGGCTAACTCCCACGCTTCCCCCGGGGTGGTTGTTTGTTTATGACTTTGTTTGTTTGTGTTTGTGTTTGTGTGTGTGTGTGTGTCTGTCTGTCTGTCTGTCTGTCTGTCAGTCTGTTTGACGCAGTCTACGGCTGGACGCATCGCAAGTGCAGATTGCGTTTGAAGTCTTCAGCAGTGCATGTAGTGCAGCATTTTGACTATTGAATTCCTACAGATCTGCTCAAGCCCCAAACACTGTGGCCAACTGAGGTTGAAGAGCGAGGGGAAGGCCTCTTCCGCACACTGAACTGCTTTGGCCTCTTGCTTTGCCGCTGTCGCCATGCTAAATGGTCAAGCACAGCTTGTGCTTGCAACCTCTGCCCGTTCGTTGTTAGCTCTCCCAGCTCCCAATCTGAAGCTCTGATTTCGAGTTCCTTGGGCAGTGGGCATGTGGAAGACAGAGCTGCCAGGGCTTGGCTTTCCTCTTCTCGGACACGCAGATTGTCAAGGCCTCGCCACGCTGAGATGTTGACGGTAAGAACTGGGAGACTGCCAAGACGAAGGAGAGTGCATTGCAAAATTGCAAAGTCGCAGTCTGCTGATATTGATGGCATTCCGCCTGTTGTTGTAAATCGATGTGGAGCCCTGCCCTGGTAATCGCACACCCGAAAGTCGGATGCGACGACAATTCAAGAAAGATCTGTCGAAGCTATATGTGTACAATCCCCCTCCATACTGCCTTGCACAGAAACCTAGCTCTGGCAGAGCTACCGTATAGTCAAGCAAGCTCACGGCATGCTCCTCATGACATCCACTGATTCCTCCGCCGCCGATGCAATCGAAAACAGAACAACTCAAAACCGCTGTTGCCAACCATGTAATCGAAACGGGCCACCTTCTTAAACATTGCCAGCAATTTCCCACCGATGACGACAAGTCGCACCGCTACTGCTGCTTCTGCCGCCCTTGCTGCTTCTGCTTCTGATGATGCTGCTTCTGCTTCTGCTTCTGCTTCTGCTGCTGCTTCTGCTGCTGCTGCTGGCACTTTTTCATCTACTCCCACCATGTCGACTGCTATGGTATGCTATGGTTATGACTACTCCTGCTGCTGCTACTCCAACTACTGCGACGACAACGATTATGAGGACGACCACAGCAACAACTGCTGCTACGACCACGGCTGCTTTGACTACGACGACGACCATTACTTTGACTGCTATACCACAACGGCCAGTGCTACTACCACTGCCGTTCTAGAGGGTCGAATTATTGCAAGAATCGAAGTCTTGTGCGTAAGCTGGGGCGAACATCGTCATTGCACCCACTGTCCCGGGCACTTCGGGGTAGGACTCGTGTTCAAAGGTCTTGCGAGCCTTAGTGGGGATTAATTATGCGTCAGTATTGAGGTCTTTTGTTTGCCCTTTCCAAAGGCAAAAGTTTGGCTGCTGTTGTCGCCATCGTTGTACTCGCCGTTGTCCTCCTTGTGCTTGCGGTCGTCGTAGCTGAGTCTGTCGTCGACGTGATGTCGTTTTGGTTGTCACCAGCTGTTCTTCAAATTCCGATAGCAGGCTAAGTTGTATTTTTTCTTTTGGATGTAACTTAACTTTTTCCTCTTAGACGTAACTTTTACCGCCTTCCCCGCCTACCCCACCTACCCAACCTACCCCACCTACCTCGCCTGCCGCCCACCTGCCCACACGACGAAAATCCTAAGCAGTGAATCCAGCAAGAACCTTTTACCCAAAACGATAACCCTAAGGAGTGAATCCAGCGAGCACCTCTTACCCAATACGAAAACCGTAACGAGTGAAATACCGAAGACGAAGCCCAGAGGATTGAATCGTTTACTCAAGACGACAAGCTCAAGGAGCGAATCCAGAACCTTTTACCCGAGACGAAAACCTAAGGAGGGAATCCGGCAGGAACCTTTGACCGAAAACGACCACCCTAAGGAGTGAAGCCAGCGACAACTTTTTACCCAAGACAAAAACACTACTGAGTGAATCCAGCAGGAAACTTTTGTCAAAGACGAAAACCCTAGGGAGTGAATCCACCAGGAAACTCTTGCCGAAAACAAAAGCTCTAAGGAGTGAATCCAGCGGGAATCTTTTCCCGAAGACGAAAGCCTTGAGGAGCGAATCCAGCAAGAACCTTCTCCCGAAGACGAATTCCCTAAGGAGTGAATCCAGCGAGAACCTTTTGCCCTACACGGAAACCCTAGGGAGTGAATCCAGCGAAAACCCTTTACCCAAGACGAACACCCTAAATTAATCTTGTGTGACGGTTCTGGCTTGGTGCTCAATGCAGCACAAGAATTGTGTTTCGGTGCGAAATACACCAGAAAAAGGTTAGTGGCCTGGTGCTAGAATCTCACCACAAACAAGTTTTAACGAAGATGCCTGTTTTGCAACCCTCTGCAGAGATTTGCTGTTTTGGGAGGCGAAAAAGCTACAACTCAGTCATTTTGCTGGAAAAACTGGGAAGTTCGATATGATTGTAGTCGTAGTCGCCGTAAAGCCAGCGCATCAACGGAAAGTTCAGTTAGCTTACCGTTGATGCACTGGCATGCTTTTGTCGCAGCCCTTACATGGTTTTCCATGCTTTAGTGACCCCAGTGGCGACACAACAATGACGACAGCATTTATTTATGCATGATGCTGCCGATGTTGGGAACGAGGGCGATAAGTTTCTCGAGGTGCAAAAGGTGCAGCTTTTACGGGGATGGCTGTTGACCAACGGTGCGGTGTGCAGTTGAACCGGCGTTGGCAGCTGCAGGAGTCCTTCTTGGAGGACATCAACAATATTCTCAACACCGGCGAGGCTTCTGTGCATGCTCCGCTTCGTTCAAGTTCCCTTTGAATACTGGAACGTTCTTAGACTGAGAATGTTACAGGTATCAAGGCTTTCCGTGCCTGGCGCAGGTCCCGAACCTCTTCCAGGCTGATGAGCAGGAGCAGGCCGTCCCTGATTCTCGTAGCCAGCATGTTTCCGTTCCTCATCTTGAGGATGCTAGGAGCACCTGTTGCTTGGCCATCCTCTTCGAGGGGAGATTCGGAGATGCTGTGAGGTGATTGGCCTCACGAGGCCCCTGGCCAAGGCAGCCGGGAAGGTCGACGCCCGCGATGTTCTCTGGCCTTGGTCCCGGTTTTGCTCTGATGCCCCGGCAGCTGCGGAGATCCGTGAGACGACGGCGCAGGCAGCACTTCGTCCAGGTGGTAAGGGAGGGTTTCCACATCATCCTGGCGCCGGGAGCCGAGGGCGTGGCAAGACACAATGACACACTGCTTAGCCAGCGGTGCCAAGAGATGCCAAGAGTCCAAGACAAGCCCGCCTCCCCCCTCTCTGGCTTTGCCCGCCTGAGCGCTCTTGTGTTGCCCGCCCGGCTCAAGGGCAGCATGCTGCCTTTCGCCACGGACTGTTTCCTCACTGAGCTACCTTAGGGTCCCGGTCGGCACCTGCTGCAGCTTGAGTTGACACTTCCAGCCTTTGAGGGAGGGCATAGCCACGGCAGGGGGCCCCTTGTATTTCGGAACCGTCCTCACTCCTTGCACCCTTCACCATGCTTCCGACAGGCCGGGACAGTGCAAAGTGATGTATTAAGCATTCCATAGCTGACTCCAGTTCCAGCATGCCGGCAGGCCTGATACTGGCTTGCGAGAGTGTAGGAGCGTCACTCATGCATGAGGCGATGCTCATAACATACATGGCTCATCATGTTGTGGCGGGTAAACGCTGCTTTGCGGGTACGTGTACAGCAACACCTGTGCTGCAGCAGGTCCCGACTCCATGGCTTTCCATCGACTCGTGCAAGCTTGGGCATCTGATCCAAGTCTCGGCACCGCAGCGGTCCAGAAGCAGCTCAGCACCGGACATGAATGCTTTTCAAGAGGGCAGAGGTGGGAGGACAAAAGGTCTCAATAGCACCAAGGCTTGCGGCCGAGGAGCCAGGCCTGGCGGAAGCGCTGCTTCTCAGTCGCAGATCCCCTCCCCCCATGGTCCGCCGCCAAAACATTGGACCACGCCTTTTGCCAACACGCCGTTTGCGCAACACACCGCCGACGCACCGGCTCCAAGCGACCAGAAGAGAACGCGCGCGTCCCTTTGTCATGGAATACTCGGGTTGTTCTCGGTATATGTCTAACGGTGCCTTGGTCATCTGCCGTGTAGCACGACGAAGCACGGCGCAGAGTACAGCACCTCTGGCAGAGCCAGCGGCAGCGCTGAGTGGAAGCCTGGTAGCCTGGCCTGGCCAGGCTACCGCAGTAGCTTCTTCGAGGGCCAGCGTCTGCTGCATGCCAGCCCACATATGGACTCTGTCCTAAGCTCCATGCTCTAGGCATGTACAGAGAGCACGGACGGCTCACCCTCAGCTGCAGTTGTTCCGTGTAGCTCCCCAGGTTGGCATTCATGCATGTCCACGGTGTGGAAGTGCACTCTTTCCACGCCAACACCCTTATCGGCTCTTTGCCGCTGGTCTGCAGCCGTGTCAGCTTGGGGTTCGGAGTTCTCTGCACGAGTGAGATCTGAGGAAGAGGGCTGGGCACTGGCAGCGTGCTTGCCGCCTTCTTTTTCAAATGCCCCATGCTTGCACTTGGCAAAGCTCCTCCTTGTAGTGGCAGCAGTGGCTGCTTTTTCAGGCAGATGAGAGAAACCGTCTTGCCTCCTTCAGGCCTGAGCTGCAGCTGCTGCAAGCACCTCGGAATCGCATTGCCGAATCGCAGACTTCAGAGCTGTCTCAGTAGGCCGCCATGGAAGCGGAATTGCGAGAACGCCGTGCCCCGGTGCCCCCCTCCCCGCCGCCGCCCCGCCCCACGCAGGCGAGAAAAAAGAGAAGGGGAAGCAGAGACACAGGGGGGCTAGCTGTTGAGGTGGAGTCGGGTCGCAGCAGAAGCATGGGTGCTTCGAGAGCAGCTAATGGCAGGAACAACAAACCCATAAAGATGGAGGAGGAAACGCATGAAGAAGAGCACTAGCCGCTGCGGACAAAACAAATTATGCCGACGCAGATCCCCAAACAGTGAAAGACCACAACTGAAGCATGCATTCCCCCAGATACTGCCGCGTTTCAGGAGCAGCCGGGACGTCAGCGAAGCGGGAGACGCGAGCATCCCTCGTACATAATAAGACGCGGGGGTCCGATGTGCAGGGCGCTTCTTTTCCAGGCGCACCGCAGGTTCCGGGCAATCTAGTCACTAGTCTTCGCACTGAACGCAAAAACTCTACAATCTTGCCACACTGTTTGGGGACAAAGCACATCAGTAGCAGTCATCGCCGACGTGATGCATGCCGCATGACCGGGCGGTCTTGACAGAAACTTACCTGAAGAAACACCATTTGGATGCTCTGTCGAGTTTGGAATCTTGAATGCCCCACGGACGCTATAGAAGAGCTAAAGAAGCCGCTGGAGCTCTATAACGTCTCGCGGCTTGATTCACTGAAGCATTCCTAAACAGCAGCTGGATGCCTCCTCCGGTTTTGCGTGTTCCGCAGCTAACAAAGTCCAAGAATCTTCAAGAAAAAAGCCATCAAAGAAATAAACAGCTGCCCAGGGCCGCCCGTCAGCTCTTGTGGGCCTAGAAAACTGCAGCTCCTCTGGTTTTGCCGTTTTGCAACAGCTGCAAACTCTGTTCTCCGAAACATAGTGAATCTCGTAGTAATTGGATTGCATAGTGCTTTTGCCAACCTGTCATTGCCTGTCCTGTTCTTCTGTGCTAATGCGTGCCACTCTGTCGCCTTTGAAGTGAAAGCTTTCGCAAAGAGTCGCAGCGACTTCCCACCCTCCAGGACCAAGTGTCCTTCAACTCCGCGCTTGGGGCGCCCGATGCTCAGATCAGAGTGGAGAAGGCTCGGGCGCCCAGCCCCTAAAGCCGTTTCATCCTTCACTCATTAACTCCAGACGGCTTGACCCCCTAGACTCCCTAGACCCCGAACTGAACTCTGCGCAAGGGTCCGGGACCCGCGCGGAATTCGATGTCTAGTGTTCTGTGGTCCCGGCCGAGGTGCGCGGCCGCGACGCAGTGGCAGCAGGTCCTGGCGATTTTGGCGCCCTTCGGCTCAACACGCTGCTTGCAGTGGCGGGGGCCTGCTGACGACCCGACGAGGTAACAGCTTTTGCACGGCACGCGTGATGATGCGCCCGAGGCTGATGTCTCCCTCCTCCGTGACTCCAGACTTGAACCTCGGATAATCCTGGCATCTACCAGGTTGATTCGATACTGTTTCACACGCGTGCTTGTGCATCGTTTCGCATGAGACTCCTGGAATATGAAGGTCAATCCTAGGCCTGTCATCACCTGACCTCCGTGTTTGGTTCTATGTTGTTCCCACAGACTTCGAGGATCTCCGTCAATGTCGCGATGAACGCCTGTGGCAAGACATCTTTGTGGACCTTGTCTCTGGATCTGTTTGGCCAGCTCTGCGGTGCAGCCTTGACACCGCTGCTAGGTCGGATTTTGCTTACTTGCCGGGACAAGCACTCAACACACCAACTCTTACGACGGTTGGCAGACTGGCGTTGAGGAACAAGATCAGCTATGGCACTGTCATCTCTGCATGCGAGCAGCTCGGCAGTGAAGGGTCCGAGAGTCCAATCCTGATTCTGCTTGTTTCGTTTGCAGCGCAGCCGCAGCGAGGAAGGGCAGCCGATGGGAGCTGGCTCTGTCGCTTCTCAACCAGATGCCACGTCAGAGCCTCCGCACAGACGAGAAGCCTCCAAAAAGCTGTGTTTGGAAGAAGCCTCTGCTGAAATACTCTTGTGCCGCGAGTTCTCAGGAAGCTGACCGCAGATGTGGTTGCCTTCAATTCCGCCATCAGCGGCTGTGAGAAGGCCTCGTCACCTCGGCTGCACTATCACAAACAGCATGAACAGAGTGAGCGTCTGCCTTCAATTGATATGCTCAGGTTGTGGCAACAATCTCTGGCGATGTCGCTTGTCCACAAGATTCGGATGGGTGTGTGTTTTGAGTTCTCAGGGCACATGGTTACTACTCCCCCCGCGCTTTGCAACTTTCGCAACCGGGCTTCTCTGTGCTGGACATATGGTAGTGAAGAGGCGTAGAACTGAATGTGAGGGAAACAGCTTGTCGACCACAGAAGCTGAAGTGTGATTCGCATGTTAGGTTGGTGCAGATGCCCGAGCAGCGGCTTTCCCCTTCCTGTGTCAGCTTCAGCGCAGTCCCTCGGCTGGGCTCCGGGCTTTCAGCGTCCTCGGCGTTGCAGTTGGCTTTAGGTTATCAGCGCATGTGGCCGCGGAGCCTTCTGGGAGGCGGCCTCCTGACAGAAAAAGATGGCGGCCAAGGCTCAGTGGAGGTTCAGCCGTTCTTGCACAAGGCGCTTCAAACCACTGCTTGCCTGCCAAGGCCTGCCATCTGCTGGGTTTGATGCGTAACATGTCGGAAGCTCCGAATGCCGCTGGGTTGCAGCAGTACATGAATTTCTTCTCGGGCTCCAATTCCGCAACTGCAAGCATCTGCATTGCAAGAGTCTGCGGTGACTTCGAGAAAGTTTCCGTGCCATGTTTCCCCTTGTGATGGGGCAAGGGGTGACTGCCTGCCTTCTGTCTATGATTCAGACTGTGCAGACGGCCACGCAACGTGGAGAGGCCTAGCTCGGCAGGCTGGGAAGCACTCAGACGCCAGCATCTCTGCGGGCCGTTGTGCTCATGGTGGCCTTGCCGGAGAGCTCTCAAATTCTGTCGCTGCTTAGCCGTAGCATGCGGCTGCCTGGTTCCACATCAGCTTCTGGGCCAGAGGTTATAACCTACAATGCTGCCATCAGTGCCTGTGAACGAGCCCGTCGCTGGCAAACAGCGATGATGCTAGGTGGCACAAGAGATCCCAAAGCATTTTCTGCGGACATCGATCCTCTTTCACCTGGCTCTCATGTAGATGCAGCACGACGAAAACAGCAGTTCTCGTAGGGAGCATATGAGAAGCATGTGAGAGCACCTTTGCGCGGCACCTGGAAGCCTTGTCTCTCTGCAGGATGCTCTTGCAAGAAGCATCAGATGCTGCCGTGCCGCCAGACGTCGTGGGCTCCATGTCTTGAGACCGGCTTAAGCCTCAATGACTTGAACGGGTGATTCGACTTGTCAGCACTTGCGGTAGACAGCAGGATCGGTGACTGATCACGATCTGTACATAAACGTAAAACGGAATAATGAAATTTCATGATGCACCGCAGCACCCGACACCAGCAATCCATTTGGTACTATTCCTTGTGATCAAACACATAGCTCTGGAAATTCCCTAGAACAGAACCCTAAGCGCGAGCCTTGCAAAGGAGTCAAGGTTCTCCTGCCAAGAGTAGCTCGGAAACCAAAGGCGGAAGCTTGCTTGCTCAGTTCGGATCCGTCAATGTACGTTGATGCGCATTACGGCGCATTGGTATATGTTATTTATTCTACTTTACAAAAGTCGTGTATATTGCATGTCATGTCGCTTTGCATTTGATAATGCGAAGTGTTCAATGTGAATAGGTCATACTACATCGTATGACTGGTTGATGATACATGATATGGTTATATGCGATTGTATAATTTATGATACATCTTATACATCATGTATGCTACGGCTATCTACGTTATATATCCTAGATCATACATTTTCGTTTGCGTACTATAATAGTGTATCATATGTGGTTTATTTTACCTTTATCATTGTACTAAGTTACTTTTTGTATTTCGATCATGAACCATACATTTTCTAGTGTAAATTCATCCATACAGTGCATACATCTGTTGTACAACGTATACTGTAGTCTAGCATGCATTCTGTATCGGGTATCTATTATATACTAGGTGTTGTATATGACTCGTACTATAGTGTAAACTGAGTATCTGTTCTATATATATGAACATTGATCTAAAGGTCCTTGTGTGGGGATTATATAAAACGGTTTTAACATGGAAAGTAGTATGTCCGCGAAAGATCCGCGATGGGTCCGCGAAAGGAAAGCAATAATCCGCGAAAGTTGTTGTGTAATAGAATTGGGCCGTATAGGACTTGTAAGGTATGTGCTGTACCCGTCCGTAGGCGTACAGGTCTCAAGCTCGCTGTCCCGCCATGCCGCGATATCTTTCTGTGAAATCGTAGTAGTTTTAGTGCAAAAGATCCGATAAAGATGCGCGAAAGACGCCGCGAAAGAAGCCGGGTCGCTTGAAGGCAGTAGCAGTAGTAGTAGTAGTAGTAGTAGTAGTACTACTACTACTACTACTACCACCTTAAACATGTCGCGCGAAAGTGAGGGCGAAAGTCCCGCGAAAGGAAAGCAATAATCCGCGAAGAAACCATTTCCAGAAACAGGAATATTGATCATCGCTCATATATATATATACATATATGTATGTACAT